TGTGCTGACATTATTTTGTTGACTGATAGTTTTTGTGACATATGTCCGTTAGCAAGTTTGATAGAATCAGACATTTTCTCTACCAATCTCAGACTAATGCGTAAACCTACTCCGCTTTTTTTTAAAAGACAATCAAATCACAAACAATCCAAGTTACAATTACAGGCTACATACATCAATATGCATAAAACATTCTTGGAGAAATAACGTCTTTTGTAATTATAAGTTATTTATTATCTAACATTAATATATTTAAATTTACTCTAATTGATCTTAACTGTATTATTTGTGATGTCTTCAGTTTTTTCGAGAACAGATATTTCGAAAGTATTCGGGATACAAAGGGCATAATGCATTTATCTATATTAGCTCTTTTTTCCGCAAAATTAATTTCTTGCCCTTTTAAACGTTAAGATGCCGTCTTAGTAACGCATATACATGGCATTATATTGTATTGAATTATTACTCGTATTAACAGATAATTGTTTTCTCTACATTCTTCGTTTAAATCTGCGGTTTAGATGTTTTCTATATTTTACTTTGATAGAACAGATGTCTTGCCCGAATTTTGCGAAGAAATGGTTCAGCATAATTGCATTTCATACTGAAATTACCGGTAAAGTCGTCATTTCAATATAAGTTTATGGTGTGATAAGTTCAAAGTGTGTTACTTTTATCGAGGATAAGCCATAGATTAAAATATCACTATATTATTACAAACACGTTACCATTGATTTGTATGTTTTATATGAAATATTGAAACATATTAAATGATATCTTATTGATTTCGAAAGCAATATTATATAGAATAATATATACAAATTGTGTTTACTAGATGTTTTCTTTTAAATTTGTTTTTTTTAAAAATCTTACTTGGTTTAAATAAATTTTAATTATATAACTTCATAAAAACTAATATATAAGTTATCTCAAAACTCTAAATAAAGAAATTTATGGATGCTCTACAACTACTGACACTAAATACCAATCAATTTTTTATTTCTTCGGCATTCATAGTCACTCTGTAGACTGTCCAACGAAATGAACTTCCAAATATTAAAGGTTGAATCGAGAAAACAATTATAGGTGTCGTCTTTCTGTTAGAAAATACCCTGAGGTTAAAAAGGCATCCACCTTATGTATCATTATAATATTACGATTGCATTAACAATAACAGCATTTGCCTTATGGGAAATACACACTACAAAACAAGGGTATTAATATTTGACGAATGGTTGAAAAAATAGATTTATCAAATTTGTTTCTTAGTTTACGACTGACTGAAAATTGCGATGGAAATAATTAAACAATATAAATTGTAGAAAGCTAATTTTTATAACGGAATTATCATAGAACATATGACAATTATCTGCGTAACAATTGCATTACAATATGAATCCAAATATAATTTCAATCTTTAAGTATGATTAGGAAATTGTTGAATTCCCTTACTGATGGCGATGGTAAGCTAGCAATATCAAAACATTTCCGTGTCGATCCCCTGTGTTCTGATACACTTTTACATATCCTTAATCACATTTATATGACATGACTCTATGTTATTGATAAAAAATATATGACCTAGGTGTGGGAATAGAATATGCAGGAATGAATTTATTGTATCTCTCATTGCAAACAACCCCCTATATTTTAATGCGGTAAATGAATTATTCAAAGTTATAACAATATTCGTCACCAATATTCATTTAGCAGAATTTGAAGTAAATAAAATATTTCAAAAGGTTTTAAGGTCACCAATGACGTCAACATCGAATATGCCACAGTTTTTTTAGTATTTTTGATAAAATTACTTTTTAAGGCTCTGGGTGTTTGTATATACTTAATAAAAATTCATTGGAGCAGATAAATATCCCTTTTGAGGAAAAATTCAAATCCAGTTTTTGTCTATGCATGGGAAGTCTTAAATTAATGGCTAAATGCCAGAACATTCTTTCGCACGGACCAGACTCTATACATTTAGATATTGAAAACTCCTATAAATTTAAAGTATTTGAAAGCTTTGCAAATCAAACTCACAAATACGCAGGTTTATGTTTTTCAATAAAGTCTTAGAAACGCCAGGGCCGTTAGTAAGAATGTGTACAGGCATATCAATATATTAATGAAAGTTATGCAGTTTATTGTTATACTGCTGAAATATATTGCAAACCTAAAATGGACTGCAAAATATGTTAGATAGTGTAGAAACATAGGTAAATAATGACGCATTTGCCTCCCGCAATGTAATGAAATATCAGATTTTGGCTTTAAACTGGGTATTCTTGATTTTAATATGCATTCTGTTTTTCTTTTGGCAAGCATTGCAACTATGTGTCTCTAAATTTAATCTCAATCGATAATCCAAAGTTTGAAATAATTTCAAGAAGCGAAAACACTTATTTTGTATTATATGCCATCTTTATTGTAGGTAAATTAAAATATATCATTATTATTATTTAAGAGAATACAAATCGATAAAAAAAACATCGAAAATATAGGTAATGAGGCACTCAAGAAAGCTAGTTTAACGTATTCTGGCAATTTGTAAGTATTTATACAATCATGTCAGCTAGACCTTTAAATAGAAACTGGTGCTCATAAGCCATAGCTATATGTGCTTTATGTTTTAAACATGAATCTTTATTGAAAATAAACTTGTGTTTACACATGAGTTATTCCAGAAGAAATAGTTTTAGAGGATATTGAAGTTTCTTCTATAAATATAGGATTTATTGTCATCGAGTGGTATGAAAATAAAAATTTCACGAGTGGCAGTAGTCACGAGTGAAATATAATAATTTTCATAACACAAGATGAAAATAAATCATGAATTAAAAGAAAAAAAAATTGTTTATTATATTTTTTTCCCATTTTTTAAACTTGTTATTAGGAAATCTCTTTTGATTGTGTGCATTGGCGGAATTTAGAAGAAAGTAGTCTGCCAAGACACCAGTGAAAATTCGGAAAATACGTTTCAGTTTCAGTTTGCAGTGAAAAATAATTTTTTACAGAAAATATGGAAAATAGAAATAAGCATTTTATTTCATCAATATCTCTCTATATTCATTTATAAGTATATAATAAAGCTTTGCACTGACACTATTGCATTTTACTGTTCACTTATTATTTGGATTTTCTTACCTATTAAGTAAGTTAAAGCTGTATGTCCATTTCCTTAAAAATAGAAAAAAACTATTTTATGTATCGTATATTTAAAATGTCCTAGATAATTGACAGCTAAACACAATCGCTAGCCAACTAATTATATAATATAATCATAAGTGTGCAGTTAAAAAAATTATTTGTTGTTTATAGATATAGATATAGTTTTATATATTGTTACAATTTGCTCTGTAAAAGAACGGATGTTTGTTTCCAATTTAAATGAGAGTATTTAGCCCTTCAATTCATTTTAATTATGTGAGTTTTGTTATTAACCATGCTATGACATATGTTTTGGCATTTACAGTAATTTGACAAATACACGTTTTTATAAATTTCCTGAAGTGATTTGAACAGGAGTTCAACTGTTGATTTTAAGACTGAAAGGTGTTCCATATGCTTGGATCCAATTAATTCTGCTTTAAATTGAAAAGTAGCATGTGTTTCTGTCGGAAGATTTGCAAAAGTTAACACTAACAAATCTAATTTAATCACCTCATAGATGCTCTTTGAAATCTTGCAATAACGCAAAGGTATTAAAACATTTATTGCTTCCAAAGGTACTTCCTATGAAGATATCATTAGATTAGCATGGGTGTTTCTGGCTGTGATGTCGGCACGGTTAAACACAGTAAATGTTTATATCTTATCATCAAGAACATACACAATTTTAATGAACGAAATTTTAAGAGCAATGTCATCAAACATTGTTTAATAATAATAATAATACATATTCAATTAATTTGAATCTGTAAGACAATGTGTTATCTCTCAACCTCAGCACTGGAACATTTTTTTTTCATTTAAGGAAATGACATCATGAAAGACCTATTGAGACCCCTAAAATGCTTTCATTTTATTTCTCAATGTTATTTGTATGTGCTCTTGTATTGTTACCCAACCGAACTCGTTGACTTTATAGCTAAACCTTTAGCTGAACTTGAATCTTTGCTTTTTCTAAAACTTAAATTAGGATATAGTTATTTGTATGAAAGGTACACTACCTCAGTTATGTTTTTGTTATTATTCTTACAAGTATGATATACATTGAATTATAAACATTCTCTATATTCAATATTATACCTCATAAATGATTCGACCCAATAAAACAATAGTTTGTCTATCATTCACAAGAGAATTCTCAGGTCGTATGTGTCATCAATGGAGAATTACTGCATGTCACATCTTATTTTTGAAACGATTTAATTTTACAGAACGTCCAATAAATAAGAGTGATTCAATTCAACATAAAAGAGAGAACGTTATAAAAATAGTGTACTTCTAAATTAGGTTTGGTAAAGACTTTATGCATTGGAATTTTTAAAATTGAATTCTAAAGTTAGCTTACTTTACCTCAATTTTTACAGATTATTGTATTATATAATATATTAAGTTTTACTGATCCGAGCATTAAACTTGGTCGTAACAGTAAAAATTATATGCAGCGCAAAAAGAGTCAAATATCAAGTCTTATTTTACAAACATTATGCCGAATATAGATAATAAGTTTAGACGTTTTCAAGGTCATGAAAGGTTGTTATCATCTATTTCTATTTTAACAGCATACTCCTTGCACTCGTTATTTTGAAAAATAATTTAAAAATAGTATAAGGAAAAATCATGTAATTGTTGGTATTCGATGTTTTTAATATTCTTTACTTTAGTTTCTTATAATCGTTGATTTTGTTTTTCCTCCTTTTATTTTAAATCATATCTAACTTATCATAAAATCTATTTCATATGATAATTAAAATGCGAAAATAAATCATATGCAAATGATTATAGAACATAATTAAATTATTGTCTCTGATAACAATTTTTACTGTATTTATTTCCAGAAATAAAAGAGTGTTTCAAATAAGTGTATTATAACAAACGGTTGAAAGAAAATTGAACGTGACCAGAATAGATATAAGGTAATACTAAAAAACAATTTTGTCCTTGTGAGTGACAAACTTGTGCTTTCAAAGTAAATTGTAGCAAAATGTTGTTGTCTCGGACAACCTTGATATTGGCTGTTTGCTTTTATACATATTCAAATAAAGAAGCATCTGATGACAAAATACTAGAGAACATTTTTAAATTGCTCATTTAACCAATAATGAATTAAATTCCCCTAATCCTGTTTTCGTAAGCAATCAATGCTTCGATAGGCCTATAATAATGAGCTTCTAAAACATATCCTCTAACCGATTACTTTCATATTTAAGTCTTATTTTAACCAAGCATTTCAGTTTAAGATATACTCAGATATTTCAACGATATATATATATCTGTAATAAATTAAGTCAAAGGAATATCTGATGCATATGAACATGAAGCGTAATGCGCTAGTTAATTTTAATGGTCATATTCACGAATATATGTTTTCAAAGCAATGGTAGGTTTAGAATATAAGCAGCAATATATGAACATAGTTTTATATAAAACGCATCCATCATTCCTTGTGTATATGAATATTTGCTATACGGAAACAGCAAACTATGCGAAACTGCAGTTTTTGTAATATAAAGGAAACATAAAAACAAAATGGGAAAGTTTAGTTAGATAGTTTGTCAACTTGTGGTTTTATTAGTTGCAAATAGATATTGATAAGCTAGTTAAAAGAAATCGTTAGCATAGATATCAACTGAAATACATCGGGATAACTCTATTAAGTTTATTGAACAGAAAACTAGAAAAGCTGATTAAATAACTCTGAATAGTGTTATAAACTGATTACTTAAGCCAGATTCTTAAAGATCATACTGATGTTTATAAAATATTATCAAGCTAAAATACAATCGATTCAAGAGACCAAACAAACCATTTGGATTATAGCAGAACAGCGGTTTCTTTTCTTGCTTTAATTTTGGAAAAACAATACATTATGGTTCAATTGCCATAAAGCTGTTTTCCACGGTAAGGGAAAAACAAAGATTAACCAGACATTAATTATATTTATCAGTCTTTCATTCAAATCTGCGTACATTTACATTATGCAGTAAACATTTCTAGAATTATATCCGTATAAGCAAAGAAGAAATTCAAACAACTATAAACATATAATACAGACCATAATGATAAAGATATTTTCTTGAGATTTAGATGTCATAGATTCATTTTTGCATATTACAATCAAAATAGTAAGCTACTCCCAACGTTTTATTGTCAATGGATATCTTTTCCTCATTCAAATGCTTTGATATTTCAGCTTTCGATATATCGGGATTTATATCGATTATATCTAGATCATTTTAATGCTTAACAATACAATGAAGTAAAGATTGTTACAGATATTGTCGAACAGCTGAAGATGTATATCATTTGTTAAGCAAAACTTAATGCTCCAAAAACTTTTAAGTTTTTGCTAAAGTTACAAATTTTAATATAAGTTGTTAATAATTGTAAACAGAGTGCACTAAACTTTACCTTTAATAGAAAATAAGAAGGAAGAAAAACAATAAAAAAAAATCCAAGACAAGCTTATAAAATTTATTTCATACCAGAAAAACATATGCCGAACGGTACTGACAGATATTTGCTACTTACATGTCTTCCCCCAGTTAAACTTAAACATTAATTCTTGTTTTGATGTCAGATGATAATTGTGTACATGCACCCTTAAACATTATGCAACAAAAAAAGGCAAAATAAAGCATTTTGATATCTGTTCAAATAGACCAAACACCTTTTACGAGCTTCTTTCCTAAATGTTATATTGACAGAAATAGAGTGTGACAAATTACCTTTTACTCTTGCAATTCACGTTTTTAATCATCCTACTTTCTCACTTTCAGCCGTTTTACAAACCAAAATTAGATTTGCCATCGTTAGAAAATAGTGACGGAAGAAATAACATTAATTTCTAAGTAAAATTTCTACATTCAGGTAAAGAATTAAAAATATTATAAAATATGGTAGACTATGCGAGAAATATATCTGATATGTTTTTGTTCAGATCGGTATATCCGTCCCTTTTCCCAATAAGCGGTTCTCCTCGGGACGAATATTCGGATCCAAACCGCAACATATAACATATATTCTTTCGAAAATCACATTATTTTAATTATTGGATCTTGCTATTTTGCTACACATTATCTCTCGAAAACTTCAGCCAAGTGTATGTCATTTGATCATTTTATACTCGTAAAAAATAAGCATTTTACAAAAAACACGCGGAAATTTAAGCTTTTTAAAGTTAAATTAGGATTGAAATACGTGTTTGCAAACATTAATTTCACATTTGTGTGTTATTATTATAAGGTCTTTGATTTTAAGCTAATGTAAGCTATATACCAGTTTGTTAAAAAGGTGTATCAAAATAATTTAAGAGCAGCAATTAAAGTATTTACAGTTCCAGTCGATAAGCATAAATTTGTGAATGTGTTGCATACTTCCTCTGATCAATTCATGAAGGTAAAAACCGACAAATGTTGCTATCTGTCAGAACCAACAGAACGTCTTACATGTTTAGAAAAAAATATTCGAATTGCTAATGCGTTTAAAGTTTAATGAATTGATAAAAGTAATAATATCTAACTAAAATGCAAATTTTAAGTGTGAAATAAAAAAACGTTCTAGACTCTTCACTAAGCATTAGAGGACCCAACGAAATATCTTTATCAAAACCGTAAGTGTGTACTCCAAACACGTACAAAAAACAATCGGAGGCGTAGGATTCTTTTGTGATATACATGTAGCAGTTAATATTGGTGATTTATTGAAAATATTGTTTATGTATATACATATATTTAAGCATACAACGTCGATAGCGTATATAACATTTCATTAACAATTAAGCAATAAAAATGTAATTTAAAAGTAAAACAAAACTACAGAAGTAATATCTGTATCTGTAAATAAGCATTTTTCATGGAAAATTGGTATAATCATTGTCATGTAGATTTTTTTATCCTTTTGTAACGAAGCACATGTCCGACTCACGCTGCTATCTTCTCTTGTATGAAGAATCATTCGACCATTTTTTAGGTTTTAAAACATATTAATCATGTTTTATATATGTTTCCGTTTAATTATGTCCATTCTATAATTGTAAGTGTTACTTAGGAAAAGATGTAGCACATAAAAAATTGTTTAGGGGATGTTTTTTTCTGAAAAAGTTTAAAAACAAAAATTATCCTTTTGTTTTAATTTTCTTTTGAATCGATATGGAATTGTCATCATATGTTATCTTATGGCGAGTATAATCAAATCAGTTGATATTGAATAGACATTGTGATCAAACCAATATTTAAGACCTTTAGCAATTATATTGCATATATCCTAAAGAAAAGCAGCAGCAGTGGTGCAATAATACGATAATATAATAATTCGCCAGGCAGTGGAATAGTTAAGCTTAAAGTTTCATTTACTTTTACTTTGGCGTCTTGCCTAATACTCTTCTGATATTCAAATATTATAAAATCAGATGTTGCTATTTTTAAAAACAATGCCACGCAGTCCTTATTTACACAAGTATCAATTTACATTCAACATAATACAGAAATTAAATACGTTTAGATAGAAACACTATTTAAAACGGCCATCACCTTTAAAAAAGTGAACTAGCATTTTAGAAGGAAGTGAACTACAATTTTAGAAATAAGTAAATTAGACGACCATTGCATGGCTGATTGAACTGCGGGTTTAGCCAAAACCGTTTTTGCAATAACCTTTCATGTTTATTATGATGTTATTTACTAACCGTTTCTATTCTAATTGTACGTACGTGTTGTGAGTAGAGAATTATTAGAAATATATTACTATATGTAAGACTGCAGAATGTATGGTTTTAGACAAATTGTCTATTACAACCTCAAGGTGACCATATTTATCAGGAGAAAACATTACTTCCTTCATCAAAGAATACAGCTCATTGAACATACCAAATAACAAAACTGAAGTAGAAATGAACATAAGATTAAGTTTGTTCCGAAACATGTTATCATTTATGTTCATACGTTAAACGATCTGAAGTTTATATTTTCAAACCTCATTTATTCTATTTCAGAATGATTTAGATAGCGTGTGTTACCTTTCAATGAAGATTAACAGATTTAGAGTCTATATTAGCATAAATAATATAAGATAGTCTACATAACAGCTGGTTGAAACGCGTCTTTAATCAGGTAGGTAAACCATCATCAATATGTAGTCTAAACATACTCTCAGTGGAGTGTGTGTTATAACAGTTCATGTGGTGTTATATTGCTTTGAACTGCTTTTTTATTTCACAAGAAAAATAGATAGATATATCAATGTCAAGAAGAACACAAAAAATAAAGTATTACTCTAGTTTTATTGCGGTCATTAAATAGTAAGTGGTCTGACAAAGAGAGGCATCAACAGTTTCACTCAAAAGTTAATATCAAAACTTACAAACTTATGAATATGAATACTACTTAGTTCATGTAATTGCTCATTTTTTGCATAACAGGAACATATATATAAAAGTAAGTGACTGAGACCAGTAGCATAAATTTAAAAAAGGAATATCCTTGTAAAACATTTAATTATGACATTCAAAACTAATTATAATAACACTTAAAATTGTAATTTTAAGAAATCTAGAAAGAATGCTTATTTGTCTTATATTGAAACGAAGTATGTTCAATAGCTTACAACCTAGATATGAAAAGTACTTGTTGAATAACTGTTAATTTATTAAACAATTCGTTTACATATTTGTGTATGTAGAATTATTTCTTTACAGTGAGTGATTATCCTTATTATGACTATTGTTTGTACAAAATGTGATTTATATTTGAAAATATACGTTCAAGGAAAATTGTTTACCTTCGGTAACTAACAATTAAGTGATATTTAATCGGTTATAGCTTTTCACCAACATTACCATCCTGAAAATATGTCACTTACATCATTTGTATATTTGTCTTTAGATTTAGATTATATTACGTGGTAGAATAAATGAATCTAATGACCGACTGAGAGCACTTGATTCACCGCGATATTGCACTCAAATTTTCATCCCTAAGTTTCAATTATTGAAGCGTATTTTAAAACCTGGATAAAAGCTGGTTTCGATCATATTAATTAATAGGAATTATATAATAAACCGAGGAAGTACCTAAGTCTTGAAGTGACGAAATGTGACTTTTTTCTCTTAGAAGCGTTGATTTTTAAGTAACTTCTCATTAATACGGAAGTATTAACGTATTCCGATAAAATAAAGAAGTAGTTATCACCGATAAAGGGAAATAATCAGTATGCTCGCATCCTGAATTACCTTTATTTGCGTTTGATACATTCCGAGAGTTTGTTTATCTTTTCTGCCAACAATATTGCCTATGTAGATATGGTTGAAATTATCGAACCTATTTAACAAACATCTTCACATATAAAAGGTGATTGCCACAAAATTGTGTGATTTTCATCCAATTGAGTCGAATATGATATTCCTGGATAACTCATAAACCATTTCAATCTTGATTTGGATTTTATCTATCTAACTGGATCGATAGAGTATTTTCACTATCTTGTGTATCGTGTTGCACTTTGGAAGATTTCTTAGCACATCAAGTAATAATCTATTTTGCTCGATTATTTATCAATTGCTTATTTCCTTGGGCTAGTCCTTGGCTAACAGGTAGATATCGATGCTCTTTTTGTGTATTTTGTACTCAATGACCATTTAATAATAGATTTCCTTCAAGGACTTAAGGCTTTAAATATTTGTTTTTTATTGTTGTTTTCTTCTGCTTTGTGTCTGTGTGGTTGGGGTGCATCCGTGTATAAGCAAAAATACTTCATCATGGTTTGAAATAGTTTGACATATTTCTATGATTCCAAAGTAGAGGGTCCATTCATTCCAAATAATTGCTGCTAAACAACCGGTTACACTAAATCTATATGTTTAAAAAAGTTGCGGAAACAAATAACCCTTCTGTTATAACAGGAACAATCTTACTTTCAATTTGACTATTTATTACTTTGTTGTTATTAAAATTTTAATATGCTAAGTTAAACATACATTCAGAAATAGGAATGTGATACATAACATGTCTTCTATTGCTTTGTTAATTATAGTGCTTTTTTAACTTTATAATGCATGTGCACATTCAGCGAAGAAATGGAAATGCGAGATGTTGTTTAATAATAACTTTTTTAGTATGTAGATTATCAAGTTGAGCAAAAACTGTGACAACGATGAGTTGCATCTATTAGAGAAATAACTTAATAGTTTGTTTTTCTAGTCTATAACTCAAAAAATATCTTGAAAAAACATATTACCGAGACAACAAGATTGTTCCGTACATCTCCCCCTACAACAGTTACACATAGTCTGCTGTTTTGTTTACATAGCATGCCGGAATTCTTCTGCCAGACCTCACAAGAATAATAAGAATAAGATTACTATGGAAAATTCCTAAACTACATTTCACTTTTTTACAAGGCATTTACCCAATTGGTGATGCTCATAGTATACAACTTAATGTATAAACGTTTTGTTTTAAGCAAGTGCCTATATATTTGGTTTTTTTTATGTTTTTTATTTGTTTCTTGCATTGGTTGCACGTATCAAGTAATGATAGTATATAAAATGGTATATATAATTCTTTAAAAGGGAACAATGTTTAATTTAAAGGAACTTACGTGTTGTTTTATCTAAATGATGAACTACGTTGCTGCAGCAAAAGATGTTCAAATTTGACAGGCTTTCGTTTTTGTTATAAATAAAGTAAAACATTTGAATAAATGGAAGGTTTAGATTATTTCCCACGTGCATCCCTATCAATTGTTATCTAAAGTAATTTATTATCATATCTACAGCGATGAAATCTCTTGAAACGTCTGGAAATAATTTCTGGAAAAATCAGTTTCTGATTATGCTTCATTTAAAAACGTTATTTTATCCGGACTTTGCTGAGTCTCAATTATCAAACGTGAAATCAATTTTGTCTGAAATAAGTCTTAAGGAACTTTTTAACGTCATTTGAAAAAGAAAGGTCAATTTGCTTTGGTAATGTTTATTATTTGTATGTTAACTTTTTTTTAGGAACAATGGCACATTTATTTGTTTATCTAGCATTATTCATGATTATGTATGTAAGAATTTATTTCAGACACTTGTGTAAATTGCATTCTTATGGTAACTTTACAATATTATACTGTTAAATACATTTTCAAATTTTCATGAAAATTAGCAAAAATCTTGAGGTGTGCTGCTATAATATAAATACCTTAAGTTATCATGCTTGGTGGAGTTTTGTATTTAAAAAAATGTTGTAACTCTAAAACGACCTGAAACTTTTTAGCCTTAGTTTAAAGTACAGTGAAATCTTTCAAACAGTGATGTAATAATGGATGATCAAACTATACAAATATTTTAAAACCTTTGCTTACTTAATTTCCGACATTTTAGACACATCTTTGATTTTGATAATCAGCCTGACGTGCAAACAACCATTTTAGCAAGAAATTTAAATAAACAATTCGTGTCGACATATGTTCATAGATAAGAATAAACAAAGCCTTACTATCATCAAAAATCAGTTTTTTAATCAGGATAGTTTCTATACCTACACTAAGATTTTTCTGATAACTTTACAGCTGTAATATTTCACAAAACAGATAAATAACTGTATGTCAGATAAACAGATTGAAATCACTGTTTTATTAAACCGATATATCACGATATATCAACTGAAATATATTGAACATAGTAAGCCTTCAATATTTATCTTGTTTATTAGTTAAATAAAACAATGTGCGATTTTTAAAAGAAAATCAAACATTCCCTATGGGGAATAGAGTCTATAACATTTTTAAATTGTTTTTTTTTTCTTTCTAAATAAAATGTGTTGTTTTATCATTTCTCCTCTGAATTATTCCTATCTTTCTGTTATTTATGAATGAAATAGGATTGCACAACGGTTCACCTTTCCAGCTAAATTGTAGACCATTCAAAGGATTTGAATCCTGGTTATCGAAATTTAATATATTGATGCTTTACATTCATAGTTGGTGGTTTTTTATAGCATTAATACTTTCAGGACAATCTTACTTTTTATCTGCTCGCAAAAAATGATTCACGGTCGGTTGCAGATACGAATAACATCATAAACATGGAGGCTTCTTAGGAAACGACGGATCATTTTAATTAGCATTGTGAGACATACCTTAATCTATATCTTCATTAGTACGGAAGTGTGAATGCATTACAACCTTGTCAAGCAAGAAACATCATTGATCAAAACTTAAACATTACCATGTATCAGCAACTTTCCATATCTTTTGGTTCATGGTTTTTAAGTGCATGGCTTAAGCAGTTTATAAGACAATTATGTTTTTGTAAAGAGTTATATGTCCTTAGGTTCAGTTATAAACTATTCAAATTGTCAAATAGTCGTTCGTTATAAATACACTTTGGGAGGAAAAAGAGTTATATATTTAAAGTTTGACAAATAAGATTAACTCTCAATCGATGCATCTTAGTCAGTCAAGAAACTTGACAACAAAATCGTGATGTGAATAAGTATTGACAAATAAAGCTCATCAATTCTTATTTACTACAAGTAGCAATCCTCGTGTTATTTGAGACCATATAGGCTTTAAAGTGTCAAACATATAAATTAAGGTCATGTACAACTGTCATTATCTATTCTGATACGCTTTCTATTGAAAATCAGAGTAAAACTTAAATATAAAGAAAACGCTTTAATTTATATTCAAGCTCCAACACAAATAATGATATAGATCGGGCAATCAAATTAAATCATTAGGAGAGATGCTTTCACTGAACAAAGATTTATTGTTTCAAAATAAATTCTTAACAGTGCTTACAGTGAGTATAAAAGAAATATGTTCTTTAAACCTTCATTACTTTATAATATGTTTCATTGAATTGAATTCATCAAATGGAAACGTTAGATAACGTCCAACACAGCAAGATAATATTGTTGCATGCTGAGATTAGATAAGTCTGTTTATAAACGCAAGGTACCGTCAACCATCCCCTGAATCTACGAGTACATGCTTTAGCATAACTATAATTTATTTATAAAATTGAATTTTGATTAAGAATTTCCAAACATTGGAGGTTATAATGCATCATCAAGTGAATCATTTTAATGACAATTCAATGAAAATGGAATGTTTACAGAG